TTAAGATTGGAGCTGTTGAAAATTAATTTTGATAAAGCTAGAGTTTTGACGATGTTTATTTTGCCAATTAAGGTTAGTTTCCTATTTTTCCAGATATTTGAAATCCTATTCATATTGCGCAGCTTTTCATCGAAGTTAAGCTTATCAGCTTTGGTGGTGTCGTAGGAGAAGAATACACCTAAGGCACAGATGGGATCGACAGGCCAGTTGAATCCTTTTAAAAAAGGATTGTCGGATCTGTTTTTCCACTTGCCAAGCCACATGGCTTCGGTTTTGGAGGTATTGACTTCCAGTCCAGACACAACTTTGAATTGGCTTAGCAGCTTAAGTAAATGACTAATAGCTTTCGTATCACTGAGAACAACTGTGGTATCATCCGCATACATGGTCGTTTTAATTTCGTGGTTTCCTAATGTTATTCCTTTGATGAGATTGTGATTTTTGATGGCTCTTGCGAGAAGGTCGAGATCGATAACAAATAGAAGGCCTGATACAGGACAACGTTGCCTTACCCCACGCGTTAAAGAAAAGAAGTGAGACGCGTGCCCATTGTTCAGAACACAGCTGGAAGTGTTGGAGTATATAGTCCTGAACCATTGTAGAAAATTTGGCCCAAAGTTGAGGAGCGTGAGTGCTTCCACTCAGTGGTATCGGAAGCTTTCCGGAAACCCACAAAAACTGCCAGGCCAGGAGAATTTTCTTTTTCCAAATAAAACATTAGATCTTGAATTAATCGGATATTTTCACCAATGTAGCGTCCTTTTACATGGCAAGTTTGGTCGGGATTTATTATTTTTGGTTATACTTTTTCTAAGCGATTTGCTAAAACTTTAGTGAGAATTTTGTAATCAACGTTCAAAAGAGATATTGGTCGAAGATTTTCAAGNTCCTAATGTTATTCCTTTGATGAGATTGTGATTTTTGATGGCTCTTGCGAGAAGGTCGAGACCGATAACAAATAGAAGGCCTGATAGAGGACAACCTTGTCTTACTCCACGCGTTAAAGAAAAGAAGTGAGACGCGTGGCCATTGTTCAGAACACAGCTGGAAATGTTGGAGTATATAGTCCTGAACCATTGTAGAAAATTTGGCCCGAAGTTGAAGAGCATGAGAGCTTTCTCTAAGTAATTCCACTCAGTGGTATCGAAATCCACAAAACTACCATGCCAGGAGAATTTTCTTTTTCCAAATAAAGCATTAGATCTTGAATTAATCGGATATTTTCACCAATGTAGCGTCCTTTTACATAGCCAGTTTGGTCGGGATTTATTATTTTAGGTACTTTTTCTAAGCGATTTGCTAAAACTTTGGTGAGAATTTTGTAGTCAAAGTTCAAAAGAGATATTGGTCGAAGATTTTCAAGAATGGTTTTATCTTTATTTTTTTTGGGGGGAATAAGAGAGATTATTCCTTGTCGTTGGGATATCAACAAGGAGCCGTTTGTGAACGCGTAGTTAAAGCTTCCAACAATCAGCGATTTTAGCTCTGGCCAGAAAAATTTTAAAACTCAGTTGTTAAGCCATCGGTACCGGGAGATTTGGCTAAAGCGAATTCTTTTAGAGCTTTAAAGGCCTCAGTTTCTGTGATCAAACCTTCACATAAAGCTTGCTCGTTGGCGGACAAAGTAGAAAAATTGTTGGGATTAAAGAACACATCATCATCAGGTTAGTCGGCGCTATCAGATTTTTGCGAATTATATAAAGATTGGTAAAATTTGCTTTGTTCTCCTAAAATATCGAACTGGTTAGTTAGGACTGAACCATTTTGAAGTTGGAGACTAGTTTTTTAGAGTAGTTTCGTTTTTCAAGGTTTAAAAAATATTTGTTGTTGCGTTCCCCTTGCTCATGTCATCTTGTAGGGCTCCTAAGGATAGTGCCGCGAGTTTTGAGAGCCGTTATTTTTTCTAGACGAGCCCGAGTAGAATTGAGTTCGCATATTATATGCCTGTTGTTTTACCTTTTCAGCTTTTAAAAATAATTCATTAATTCTTTTCTGAAGGAAGGTTTCTTCAGCTCGTCTTTTTCTTGCTTTAGTCTTAGAAAATTTGACGGTAAAACCTCGGATTTCCATTTTGACGAGGTCCCATTTTAAGCCTAAATCTTCAATGTCACGGTATTTCTCTACAAAGTGTTTTAAGTTTTCGCGCATACATAAACTATTTACTACAGAAAAAAAAAAAAATTAAACATGTTATCTTCCTGCACGATCGGTCCGTATTGGGTAAAACTGCTCCCGAGGTCTTGAGAATGGCTCGCGGCCTGTGGCTTCCGCCGGGCCATTTTTTAGATACATGGCGCAGTTTTTTCTCCAGTACAGACCTCCTGGCCGGCAATAACGTGTACATCAATCTGCTCTGCTACCAAACAAAGCTTTTTGGATAACATAACGCCTGGTTGAGTTGGTCTTTTTGAAATCGGGATATATGAGCACATGATCATTGCTGCAGCAAGTTGGTAGGAAAAGTGTGAAAGTCGCCGTAGACATTCAGGGAGTGCCGCTTGCAACTACGTCTTTATACTTTACTTTACTATCCAAATAAAATTTGAGGGTCTCTGTTATCATCAATGCGCACTGTTAAATCCACACTTGAAACATGAAACGCGAGTTTGTTATAGTGAGGAAGTAATTTCTGCCGATAATAGCGAGGTGTACGTAATAGCGGAGTGTTCCAAGCGTTATCAGAAGATATATGTGCGGCGATCTACGCAGTGCACTTGAATACCAAATGGCTTTCTTCAAGAAAGTTTTTGGAGCCCTGCATGCTTTAAAAGTGGTTTTCAAACTGCTTTGAATGAAACCTCTTCTTTTTTTCATGATTTCTAACAAAGAAACAAACCCAAGAGCCACTGGACACTTGAAATAAAATGTGTTGAAATCTACCGGTATGATGGATATGCTGGTTGCTGCTACTTACACGAGTTTAAGGCCAGAAAGATGTCTGAAAGTTGGTAGCGGAATCTCTCTGAGCGGATTTCTCGATAATGACCTGAAAATTATACGAGAAAACAACTATTTTTAGTTTTGCAGGGCATAGTTGTACAACTGTTAGTTGTCCAGGGCACCCTTCGATAACAGCATTTGCTGACGGGTGTACCCTGGTTAAATATGTTTATATTAAGTTATTATTTAACAGCGTGCTCAAAGATATAATATTCACTCTGTGGCACTGAGTTACACTGGAAAACAGGACAATGTTAAATTGTAAATTTATTAACAAAAGTAATTGATAAATCATTTATAACTAAGTGTTACTTACAATGTGGTCAAATTCCCTAGATCATCAAAGAAGTACCAACGGATCTTAAATATACTATTGCTGGACAGTTCGCTGAAACGGCAAGAACATATACTGTTTACGATCGACCAATCAGGTGTAAAATAAAACTAATTTGAGTTGGCTTTTTTATAAATGCAAACTTATAACATGTTCATGATCTTAACTGTGGTTTGTTATGCTATTTGTGCCCTTAGTAAATGATCCTCAGAGGTCCCTGTTTCGCTTGTTATGTAGCCGTCTGCTTCCTGTTTTGAGGAATTTCTACATTGTTTGACTTGAACTCTGACTGATAATACTATTCGTTATGAGACTTACGCGTTCTATTCTTGCACGAGCGTTAAAATGTCTTGCACGCGCGCTAAAATGAGACAGTAGCTTGAGTACCTCAATAGAATTCACAGTGTTCCAAACACTACATCTGTCAAGAGAACACCTTTTTAAATGAAAATTAACATTTATTATCCCAAATTTATTAATGAGAACAAATTATTTATTTCTTCAAGTATGTGAAATTGCCAATCCTTCATATTAGCTAAACTCATTTCACTCTATTTTTATGTTCAACCATGAACTGACTTTAAGCAGCAGGAAGAATTTCTCTGTTTGACAACTAACTTGTCAAGAGAACACTTTTCATACATGAAGTCCACGCAGGATACTTGCGGCATAGAAGTACGGTTTTTTGAACGATTGCTCCAAATTCAAAATAATGTACAACTTATCCAGTTTCCTTAGGCTATCTGGCCCCGGTTGTCCGAAAGCCGATTAGCGCTAACCCACGATTAAATCGTCCAAATTCACAGAATAAATTTATTCTTCGATTAAATTCTGTTCCTCGAGGCTCGATTAGCACTATCCAAGGATTAAACTAAGGGTTAAATTTAACACACCTAGCTAATATAGCGAGGTGGATTAACTCGCTAATCGGATGAAAAAACAGACAAACAAATCAAAATGGCGGACTTACAGTTTGTTGATTTTGCTTCAATGCTGGGCCCGGTAAGGAAAGAAAAGCAATTCTGGCTACCTGACGACTTTTCCAAAATAGATGTTTCTATTCTCTCACGGACGAGCCATCCCGCGTCCGGTTTTCCCGCGTTCTTTCACAACACGGACGGACCGTTGTTCGGCAATCCGCAAAATGTTTTACACAACGAGGGCGAAGCAAGAAATCATGAGAAATTTCAACATTTCCGCTCTCAGAGGTAGAAATCGTCGCTTGCTAACCACTGCAATTTAAAAGGAAAGATCAGCGTTGGAATTAAACGCTTTTTTGGCTTGATAAAGGCGAGTATAATAGACAAAATATTGTTACTTTTTACTACATCGTGAGACAAACGATAATACACTTTATTATTGCATCTACCACGATGAATAACAACAACCTTTTCCTCGACAATATTGTTAAAGTTTCGTTTACTGTCACCCTTGCTTGTTCTTCAAAAAGTTATTTATCTCATTCGGCAGAATTAAGATAATCAATCTCCGCTTTCGCTTCTTTTCTCAGTTTATGGCTTTCTTCTTTTCTAGAGTTTTCCCCTAGCCAAACTTACTTTATCAGCGCATCCGATTAGAGGCTATTCTAAATTCCTAAATTACAAAGAAGTACGGCTGAAAGTTAGACCGGTAAGCGTTTTCAAGAGCTCACTGATTTTTCGCCTGATTAACAGAGCTTTGTCCAGCGTTTATCTTGCACAGATTTTTTATCACAGCTCTAATTTTAATTTAGGCATATTTATTGGTTCTTATATAGAAAGCAAATGTAGTTAAGAAATAAAACTGGGCTTTCTTTTCCCTTTTATTCAGCAACATTGTAGGAGCCGTCAATTATCCCTTCCCTCCCCTAGTGCTACACCATTTTCTCCCACCACAGACCGGTTTTACCGCGTTAATCCGAGTTTAATCAGGAATCCCCCGATTAGTTATCCCGGGAATAAGGAACTCAATCGCGGAATAACCGCTAACCTCGGGTTTTTTAATCGGCTTTCGAACAACCGGGACCTGGTTGTTAAGCAACAGATGATCCACTCATAGAAAGTGTACGCAAAGGCGGCCAGGTGTGTTACACAACTTGATTAAACTTAACTCAATGAAAAATCGATCAGCAAGTATACTTACAGAAACTCAACATTGAAGAGGCTGTTGAATGCATTTGGATAAATGTGAACTAGACCACTGTTGAAAAGATCTCTACGAGAAAAATATATTTTTTCATAGTTTAGAGTAACGATACAATGTGATGCCCACTTTCTGATCGATGCCAATCCCTGACCAATAATAAATAACTTCAATCTTTGTGTCGTGATCTTTAATTTCCAAAAAGCCCTAAAATACTCTGAAAAGAAAGCTAACATTTCAGCTTACGAGTATTATTATACATTGAACTCACTATCTCTTTTCTAATTGGTTGAAAGCGTACACTGAATTTTCGAAATCAGCGCCTGTGACGTCGTCTCTGCAGCTTATACAATAATCTTGTCAAGGACACTCAAGGTCACGGGTAATCATATCAAGTTCGCGCGCTTTGTGTTGCTTGCCGTCAGCGAAGAAACAAAAACATGACTTCCATTTTTTTCGTTCAATGTATAATAAAACAGTTATTAGATTCGGTTTTTGTGATATCCAGAATAATCAAGGTCTCGGTAAGGGTTGCCAGCCTCAGCCTTCGGCTTCGGCTGATAACCCCTACCTCGACCTTGATTATTCTGGATATCACAAAAACCTCATCCAATAATTGTTTATTATCTTGAAGAACACTTTAACAAGCTTCCTTTTTTTAATGCCACCATTGATAAACTGAGGGCCTGTTGAATGATTTCATCACAAATTTCAATCAAAGTCGATTTTTTTTTCTGGCGTGAGGAAACTCGAAGAGTTCAAGTGGTATCAGAACAGTAATCAATTAATTTTATCTGCAATTGAATTTTTCTGGAATAACAATAGTTCTGCAAAATCATTGGACTGATGCAGAGCTAATACGTTAGTTGCTTGTAATCGACCGTATTAAAGACAGAGCATTCATCGTAAGCCGCTGAATAGAAAAGTCTCCTCCATAAACTACTGAACTGAACCGTCCATGAGAATGGACACTGCCACCATCAACAAGATTTGTTATCCAACATGTTCTGAGGGAGCTAGACGAAACTTGAGGCGGAGGAGGAGGAGGAAAAGAAGAAAGGAAAGACGTGTCCTTCCATTTAGTGGTAGATTCGATTGGCTGTTAATTTCTAAACTACTACCTAAATGAAAGCAGTAAAACCAACGACATACTTACAAATACACTAGGTTATTTAACCATTGAGACTGTTTGAACGAATAGACCATGTTCGTATTCTCCGTGTTGGACTGGAACTAGCTTGCAATTGAGGCTCATGCGGGGGAATATCATTAAAAAGAGATTAATGTCATTAGCATTTGAAAACACTCCCCGCATTAGCCTCAGTTGCAAGCTAGTTCCAGTCCAATACTGGGAATACCAACAATGCCTTTTGTGGTGATTGAGTTGTTGGAAAGATCTCTACAAGAAATGCAGTCGTTAGCACTATGGAACTACTAAAGATACCATAAACAGTGGCTCTGACCGAATGGACTGCTTACATGTAACAAGCGTACCACATCGGAATAAAATGTACCTACAAAATTAATAACAAGTTCCTTTAGCTTGCGACTCGAAAGGAGACAATACCTGCGAACAGAGACTTTAAACTAAACGTAGGAAAAAGGTCACCTATCCTTGGAATCAGATACTTCCAATATAATCCTACTGCATGGCTTCTGCCAACCAGACGTTATTGGCAATGATCCTCCCTTATCTTAAAATAACCGAAGTATTATAAGAGTACGCAGATTTGAAAACAGGCTTATTATATATTTAAGCAGTCAGTTATAGAAAGTAGGGATATGATGGCCACTGCTGTGTACTAACAGAGCAACTCTACTCTTGGCACGTGTTGCAGAATTTTCAAGTTCGTTGTTTGTAATCCATCTCTTTCTTCTTCAGTCTCTGGGCACTTTCCATTCGATTAAAAATTCTAGTTAGAATTTAGCAAATTTCCGGTGGAAAAGAATAGAACAGCATTTTCCGAAATTTCCAGAAAGGAGAACGATTTCTCGAGGTATACTTCTGAATGTAAAGAGAGTTCAGTCCTGAGGTAGCGTGCGATTTGATGAAATATATCAAACACGAAAGACCGTGTTTGACTACATTTCGAAACACCGAGAAGGGAGTTAAAAAGACGACACTTAGTGGAATACTTTGATGAGCTTGGAGGTGTTTGGAAATGTGGTCAAACACTGTCTTGAGTGCTTGATGAATCTTCTCAACCGAAACTAAAACTATGGAAAATACGGAAAATTAAAATGATAAAAATCTATGGTATTTTGTTAAGATATATCCAAACATCGTCACGGTCATGATTTTCTCTGTTCAAACTTGATGGATTATTACTGACTTTGAGAAGGTTGTACTGCAAAACAAAAACGACTGAAACGGTTTCGTTTAACCTCAGCAAATTTCGTATGATAGTTACAGGTATCTTGCCTCTCGTGGTACTCCTTTTGGAACTGTTGTCAGTTACGACAGTTGACAAGAATCTAAGGAAAGAGCTGCAGGATTGAAAGAACAGCTACAAACTATAACCAGTTTGCAAAGAAAGAGGGGGTAAAAAAGGGTATAAAAACGTTTATTCTTGTTCCAACCAACAAGTTGGCTCAAAATTTGTTTAATAGGCAAGGATGAGAAATGAAAAGAAGACGATTCACTAGAAAATTGGATAATTCAGAACATTGAGAAATGAGTCATATGAATTTCACAGTGTTTAGATTATGTCCCGATTTATCTCATAAGGTCTCATATTAAACGACCACTTGCCCATCAGGACGCTAAGCGAGAAGGGATAAATGCCACTCTGAGTTATACTGAGACCGAATTTGGCTTCGACGATGAAGCAGGTTCAAACCAATTTATATTTGTGTAAATTGCTTTCTCTGTTGTTCGCTGTACCTGTGTAAACACCTGTGTATATGAAAATAATGATATTAGAAAAAAACATGATTTATACTCAACGTAATATTTGCATAAGAAGAATAGAACGACAGCATTGTTGACCTGGATGTGCTTTCTTGTTTTCTTATTTTTCAAGGCTTTGCCAGTTGTCAAAGATTGCCATATTTCACAACCGAGCAATAATTGAGTCATTAGATCAAGAGCGAACACGGCGCTATGAGCTATTGGCGGAAGAAAAGAAGCAAGACTGCTCATAATGCCAGCATGATAAAACCTTAGGACTGTAGAAAATACTGTTTACTTTCATTACCTTAAAAAGTAATTTTTTGCGCGTATTTAAAAGCTGAAACAAGATGTGGTGCTTTGGAAGACAGAAGTTACTTCTCAATATTTGGAATTTATGCTGGAAAATAACTCGAC